AAAAAAAAAAACCAAAAAACAAAACTCTTGAAAGTTGGCGACCTGATCCCAAATGTGGTCAGTAGTTGCTGCAGGTGGGCAGGCTTCTCATCGCTAGGTGTCTACAAAAGATGCTGGTTCCCAAAACATGGCCCTTTCTTCCTCCCTACCTGCCTCCAGACCATCAGCCGCGCCTTCATGAACGGCAGCTCAGTGGAACACGTGATTGAGTTCGGCCTTGACTACCCGGAAGGCATGGCTGTGGACTGGATGGGCAAGAACCTCTATTGGGCCGACACTGGGACTAACAGGATTGAAGTGGCCCGGCTGGATGGACAGTTCCGGCAAGTCCTCGTGTGGAGGGACTTAGACAACCCAAGGTCGCTGGCGCTGGATCCCACCAAAGGGTAGGGCTGCTTGTGTCTGTGGCATGTGTCAGTGTGCCCTGCTACCTCTCTGGGCAGCACAGCCACACCCATAAGGCAGAGGGGTTGGCCGCCCACCTGGGGCTGTGTAATCAGAGTCCTGGCTGTCCTTACCCATGATGGTGGCCGGGGCTGTTAGGACCCTTGGAGGTCATCTCGTTCACTCAGGGAGAGCAAGCTGAGGACAGAGCAGAAGGAGAGGGTGGAGGCTGCTGTATCAGGCACTGTGCTGGCTGCTTTTTCCTGGGCTGTCTCATCAGAGCAGGTTGGGTGGCCATCTCTGTTTCTGATTTTACAGATGCAGAAACAGGGGCTTTAAGAAACTGACTTACTGTAAATGTCTTAACACAATAACTAAGAAAAAGACATGAAGGCTATGTTAACCAGTTGGATGAAAGTATTTCAAATTGTATATAGAAACAGTACACTGTACCCCATGATAGTATTAATGTACACTGCTATGATTTAATAAAAAAAAAAAAAGAAAGAAACTGACTTACCCAAGGTCATTGAGGCCATTGAGCAGAGCTTGGCCAAGATGTTCCACCTCAGGCACTGCCCATCAGGGCCTCCTTTCCTGACACTGTGTTGCTGGACTCTGCGGTCTCAGAGCTGGCTTTGAGGTCCTCAGATGTCTTGCAGACCACTGAGCTGCAACGGAGCACCTACCTCTAGAGGTAACTGTGCTTTTATCTGCCGGGCAGCTTGGGGGCCCTGGGCAGGGTCTCTCCCTGGCCCTGAGTTTGCTTTACTGTGCAGCAGGCACAGTGTCCACCCCACAGAGCGTCTGTGGTGTTTATGAAGCGGCTCAATCCCTGCCTGTCACATGCCCTGCGAGGGAACCAAGGAAGATTCAGCCTGGCAGGGCAAAGAGAAGAGGTCCAGGTTTTAGGGGAAGGAGAGTAAAACTTACACAATCCTGGAGTTAGGGGGTGTTTCCTTTTCTGGATCTCTTGAAGAGGAAGGAAGGCGGGAGGGACCAAGAGAGTCAAGGCAGGCTGAGTTTGCTTCCCTGCCCACAAGGCCTCCTCTGCTCTCACCTCATTTTCTGCCCCTGCCTGGAAGGGGAGTGTTTGTCCATGCACCTGTGTCCATCCTGGCTTCAGGAGGGTTGCTTGGACTGCACTGGGGGCTCAGCAGGGATCTTGCCCCTTCCCTGCTTCCAGGACTCAGCTTTCCCCCGGAAGGAGAGGGCTGCACTGAGCAGACAGTGGCATTCTGTGCCCCCCATCTCCCTTTGGTGACCTCCCCTGGTACCTTCCAGCTACATTTACTGGACCGAGTGGGGCGGCAAGCCCAGGATTGTGCGGGCCTTCATGGACGGGACCAACTGCATGACGCTGGTGGACAAGGTGGGCCGGGCCAACGACCTCACGATTGACTACACCGACCAGCGTCTCTACTGGACTGACCTGGACACCAACATGATCGAGTCGTCCAACATGCTGGGTGAGGGCTGGGTGGGGCCTGCTGGGCTGAGCCCTGTACTTTGGCACGGAGGCTGGGGCAGCCAGGCGTGGGGCACATCCCAGCCCTACGAACAATGCACCTCTGGCCTGCTGGTGCCCAGCCCTGCTCCAGCTCTGGACTCCCTGTGAGGTCATTAGCCTCACCCTTCCCTGGGGCTCGGTGCCATTGCTGTGGTTGTGTTGGGAGAGGCCCTGGTGGCAGCTATTTCCTGTGCGCCTGCTGGCGCCAGTTCCCAGCTAGGCCCTGGGCTAGGATGAGGCAGAGGTTTTCATTGATGGGGAAACTGACTTCAGGGAGTCACATGACTTGCCTGAGGTTACAGTGCTAGTGAGCTGTGGAGGACTCATCCGTGGACACTAGACTCAGTTTCCACCCTGCCCTAAGTACTTGCTGTGTTTGTAGACTGCCAGCACCCCAGGCTGCTGTGTTTTCATCTCCTTTCTACAAATGGTGAAAACGAGGCTCAGGGAACTTTTATAAATACCTATCCCAGGTCATCAAGCTGTAGGGGCAGGATTTGAACCTAGGGAGATAACTCTAGACCAGCGGTTCTCAACCTGTGGGTCACGACCCCTTTGTAACAATGAAAATACATCCTGCATATCGGATATTTACTTTATGATTCATAACAGTAGCAAAATTACAGTTATGAAGTAGCAACGAAAATAATTTATGGTTGGGGGTCAACACAACATGAGGAACTGTACTAAAGGGTCCGGCATTAGGAAGGTTGAGAACCACTGCTCTAGACTGTTCTGCTAGAGGAATTTGGTTACGTTAGCTGTCCTGGGGTGTGCTCCAGGTGCTGGGGCTACTATGCTGCGACTGGCTACTATGCTGCTGAGAATGGAAGGTTGATGGGCTCAGATCCTGACTCCCAGCCTCCCTGGCTGAGCTATGATCCCAGCTTTACTGCTTAGATGTTGTGTGACTTTAGCCAAGTCACTTAGCCTCCTGTGCCTCAGTTTCCTAATAATAATGGTACCTTCCTCACAGAGTAGTTGTAGGAATTAATTAGATAATATGGACAACACCATGTCGAGTGCCTGGCACCCACTAAGTGCCTCTGAGAGTCAGACTCTGCATCTCTGCGGCGTCTGACCATGTCGTCGTTTTTATTGCTCTGCCGCTTACGTTATATGAAGACACCACCGTTTACCATCCATGCGCCTTTGTGTTGTTTCTAGTTTGCGACTATATAAGGTGTCCCAAAAGTTGCTCACAAAGTCACTGTACATAGGGACAATAGGAAATTGTAGTTAAGTAGGCCTTTATTTACAAAATATTCATGACAAAATTTTACAAAATCTTCCACCTGTTGGCCACCTCTTTGTAGAATTACGAACCACGTTGCAACATCTGGGTCAATGACGGACCTCATACATGTGGTGGTCCCATCAGATTATAATTTGTATTTTTACTGTGCCTTTCCCACGCTCAGGTATGGTAGACACTCAGATCCTTTCCGTTTGTTACGGGGGCTCCAGGTCTCAGCACGGGTGTGTAGCCTGGGAGCAGTAAGCCGTATCGTAGCTAGGCCTGGGTGTGCAGTAGGCTGTACCAGCCAGGTCTGTGTCATCGCACAGGGTGATGTTCCCACAAGGATGACATTGCACAGTCACGCCTAACTAAGCGTTTCCCAGCACGCATCCCTGTGTCAGGAGGCTCATGACTGTCCTCACTTCTGTGAGCGTTCTAGTATGTGGGATTTAGGCGGGAGAGGCACGCATTGCTGTGGCTGTTCAGCTTGGGTGGATCCTGCCAGTTTTCCAGAATGGCCAAAGCCTTTAAGAATCTCACATGGAGGCTCGGCGCCTGTGGCTCAAGTGGCTAAGGTGCCAGCCACATACACCTAAGGTGGCGGGTTCGAATCCCCAGCCCAGGCCCGCCAAACAACAATGGCTGCAACCAAAAAACAGCCAGGGGTTTTTGGGGGGGGCCTGTAGTCCCAGCTACTTGGGAGGCTGAGGCAGGAGACTCGCTTGAGCCCAGGAGTTGGAGGTTGCTGTGAGCTGTGATGCCATGGCACTCTACCCAGGGGAATAGCTTGAGGCTCCGTCTAAAAAAAAAAAAAAAAGAATCTCACATGGTTGCTGGGCTACAGGGTTGGACCGGTTTGCCCGACGAGGCGCCCGAGCTGTGTGGCCTGGCTGTGCCATTGCTGACGCTGTGCCCACATGTTTCTACGCAGGTCAGGAGCGGGTCGTGATTGCTGATGACCTCCCACACCCGTTTGGCCTGACGCAGTACAGTGATTACATCTACTGGACAGACTGGAATCTGCACAGCATCGAGCGAGCCGACAAGACCAGCGGCCAGAACCGCACCCTCATCCAGGGCCACCTGGACTTCGTCATGGACATCCTGGTGTTCCACTCCTCCCGCCAGGATGGCCTCAATGACTGCATGCATAACAACGGGCAGTGCGGGCAGCTGTGCCTCGCTGTCCCTGGAGGCCACCGCTGTGGCTGTGCCTCGCACTACACCCTGGACCCCAGCAGCCGCAACTGCAGTCGTAAGTGCTTTCCCCCACCCTTACACCTCACTCCCTCATTAGGTCAGGCCGGCTCTGGGAGCTGGGGTGGAAAGGAGCTTTTTTTCTATGGGTATCTTGGTGTACCATGGTATCTTGGACAGCAGGGCAGGTTGTGCTTTGCAAAGGTGCACAATGATACTTTGGAGGCCCAGGCTCGATAAAGGGCTTACTGTATCAAGACACAAATACATGGACCAAGCCCTCAGCTGGAAGATTCTAAGGACGTTTGGATTGTGAGAACCAGTTGCTGGGAGAGAACCCCCACCAGATTGCCGTACTGTGCTAAGTGGTTTCCACAGCACTCATTTACCATGGGGGGCATGTGACTCAGTCCTCATTTCACAGAAAAGGAACCTCAGGCAAAGAGAGTAGTAACTCTCCCACGACCTCAAAGCTGGGAAGGTGTGAGCCAAGCCGGCTGGCTCCAGGGTCCCCCCCATCTTGACTGGGAGGCCTTGCCTCAACTCCTGTAATCCTCACACTACCCTGAGTTATAGGTGGGCCTCTCTGTTCTCATTTCAACAGTGAGGCTCAGAGAGCCCGGGGGGGACTTTCCCATGGCCCTCAGGGAGCACAGGTGCATCCTGTTGGCAGGGTCTTCCCCACAACACTGGCCCAGAGCCAGGCATTGCTCAGCCTCTATGCAGCACTGGGCAGTTTATGGAGCTCCCTGACCTCGGGGCCTGTCTGAGCCTCGTGTAGCACTGGGCTCCTCCAGGGCTGGGCTTGCCTGTCCCGGTTCTATGGGAAGGTTAATGGGCTGTCAGAGGCCCTGAGCTGGTACATGTGTGTGATAAAGGTGCTCATGTCGCTCACCTTCCCTCTGTGGGCCACACTGTGAAGGGTGGAAGCACAGGGAACCCAGGCAAGGAGGGGACGCCATCACTCAGAGTCTCCTGCAGCCGGCAGACCTAGGGTGACAACTCGATTTCAAACCAGCCACTGTAACCCTCAGAGGGTGGCTGCACCTGGTGTCCCCAGAGTGCTCTGAGTGGTGGAGTTTGAACGCAGGTGGCTTGGTGCAGGTCTGCAGACCTCTGCTCCCTGCCGCAGGTTGTGACCGTCCTCTGCTCCCCTCCTCTAGAAAGCAGGTTCTTTGGGGCCTTGTTCCAGAGACCCCAGGGAAGACCCAGGAATGTTCTCAGTTCTTCCCAGTCCCTGCCAGCCTCGGAAGATGTGAGGAGACTGTGCTTCCCACAGAGCCTGCAGGAGTCGGCTCCCAGGCCAGCTTGGCCCCTGGCACTGTGTTGTGGGGTTGTGTGCTGGAGTGTCCCCTCCTGGTGACGTAATTTACATGGTTTTTGGCAGTTCACTGGAGCAAATTACATAGTCATCTAAGCAACACATACGTTTGTGGGTGTGAGTTGATGTTCAGTACCACAGCCTGGCTTTTGTCTTTTTTTTTTTTTTTCCTGAAACAGGGTCTTGCTCTGTCACCCCAGCTAGAGTCGAGTGGCATCATTGTAGCTCACAGCAATCTCAAACCCCTGGGTTCAAGCGATCCTTCTGTTTGTAGTCCTTGGAGTAGCTGGGACTACATGTGGCCACCATAACGCCTGTCTGATTTTTCTATTTTTAGTAGAGCCAGCGTCGTGCTCTTGCTTAGGATGGTCTGGAACTCCCGGGCTCAGTCAGTCCCTCTGCCTTGGCCTCCCAGAGTGCTGGGATTACAGGCCTGAGCACTGTGCCTGGTTGTTTCCTTCTGTTTTAAGTCTTAACCATTTACAAATTTATTCTCTATTTCCAAAATAACATTTGTTCTTTGAAACTTCAGAGACATATAACAGAGAGAGTAAAACTCCCCAGTCCTCCATCTTCCCAGGGACATCTGGCAGGTCTGTGTGCAGATGTCCTTACTGTGATAAAGGGTCATGCTGTCCATCCTGCCTGCCCCCCTTCAGCCTCCAGGTGCTGACGCACAGCCCTCTCATCTCTGCCTCCTGCAGCACCCACCACCTTCTTGTTGTTCAGCCAGAAATGTGCCATCAGCCGGATGATCCCAGACGACCAGCATAGCCCGGACCTCATCCTGCCCCTGCATGGACTGAGGAACGTCAGGGCCATCGACTATGACCCTCTGGACAAGTTCATCTACTGGGTGGATGGGCGCCAGAACATCAAACGTGCCAAGGACGACGGGACCCAGGCAAGTGTACCCGCTGGAAGGGCGTGGGGAGGTGTCCGGGAGGAGCTCCCCCAGTGGTTTGCAGGCTGCTACCCCTTTTCTTGGCAGAGGGGCCCATCAGAGCCAGGTCTGGGTAAACAGCGACTTGGTCTTTGACTGTAGAATCTCAGTGTATAACCCTGAGCCAGGGGAACTGTAGACCACGTGTAGAAACTGAATTCCCAGTTGTTGGAGCAGTCGTGGTTGGGGTTGAAACCCACGGGGTTTTTTTCTTCCCAGGGTGGTTTTTTGTCTTGCAGGGGCAGTTGACATTGGTTACTCTAATTTGTCATTTATTCTGCAGGAATCGTGCCGTTGCTTCTGCTACAGTGCAGTGCACGCACCATTCCGTGCCCAGTCGCACGGTGAAAACAACATAGCTTATGGGAAAGGGGGGCCACCGGGTACAAGGCTCAAAAACTGTCAGGAACACATAAAAAAAGAGGAAGCTAATAAATACTGGAACACCTTTTTACACATGTTAAATACTCGTATCCTACAATAACATGCATATGTGTTCAATAAATATGGCTCTTTCCTTTGAAAAGACCTGAAGTTGGGCAGTGCCTGTGGCTCAGTGGGTAGGGCTTCGGCCTCACATACTGAGGGTGACCGGTTTGGGCCCAGCCCCGGCCAAACTGCAACAAAAAATAGCTGGGCATTGTGGCGGGCACCTGTAGTCCCAGCTGCTCGGGAAGCTGAGGCAGGAGAATCACCTAGGCCCGGGAGCTGGAGGTTGCTGTGAGCTGTGATGCCACAGCACTCTACCAAGGGCAACAAAGTGAGACTCTGTCTCTAAAAAAAAAAAAAAAAGAAAGAAAAGAAAAGACCTGAAGTTGGCTTGTGGGCGTGAACACTGGGAGGGTTGTAGCTTGTGAGTTTGCCTGAAATGGCGGAAGGTGGATTGTGTGAAATTGGATGGAAAGTTCTCCCCCAGGTGTGGGTGGCCGGCTCACAGCCCCTCAGTGAGCTCTGGGAGACAGCAGGTGCAGTGAGCATGTCAGGAGTCCGTGCCCAGCTCTGTGCAGGGTGTGAGGTGAGCGTGTCAGGAGTCCATGCTGACTCTGTGCAGGGTGTGAGGTGAGCATGTCAGGAGTCCGTGCCCAGCTCTGTGCAGGGTGTGAGGTGAGCGTGTCAGGAGTCCATGCTGACTCTGTGCAGGGTGTGGTTTTGCTTTTCTGCATTCCTTTAGTGTTTCTCACGGGTGAAATTACACAGAAGCAAGACAAGAACTCTGGTTCTTGTTCCAGTTAGGATATATAACGTGTTGGACCAAATTTGTGCTTTAAAAATGAGTGTCATAGCAGAACGGACCCATTAACAAGGTCAGGCTTCTGTGACCTGTTCCAGGGAGCATGTGTGCCCACAGTGGCCTCGGGGCCCTCCCAGCAGCTCTGTGTAACTACAAAGTGGGCAGCCAAGGGCAGGATGCAGTTGTTGGTATGGAATTTGAGGACATGGCTGGCTCGTGGTGGTGTGGGTTCCCAAAGACTCCTGCTACAGAAGCTGCAGGAGCATGTAGTCTCTTTCTCCCCCGCGGGTCTCAGCGCAGGAGCTTATGTCATTTGGTGCAATCTCAGTGTCTTCCTAGCAGTGGGTCAGAGATATGTTCATCTCTAGGGACTTTCAGAAGAGGTGCAGTGTTTGTAAAGTCGATTTTGCTGTCCTGTCCGCTGAGCGGGAGCTGGTGCTGTCTGTACAGGCTGAATACCTCTTTCTACAGATGCCTCCATCCTACAATGATTTTGAGTTAAGAAGTCATAGCGTGAGGTCTGTGCCCTTGGTTGTTGGCAAAAGTCAACTGAATCAAAATTGGCAGCCCTGCCTAGGCGGCTGGGGGAGCAGAGTCACAGGGGAAATGGATTCCTCTCTTCTCACTTGGTGCAGGTGACAGTCACAGGGAGTCCTTTGGAGAATGGGAAGTGTTAATTGAGGGATGGTGTGTTTCCTGCTGAGAAAGCTCCTGGGTGCAAATTGCCTTAAAGTCTCACTGGAAATGAGTCCTTTTATGGAGTCCAGGCAAAGGTGTGTGAAGACTTTGAAGAAAGCCTTCCCTGGGAACAGCTTCTGGGTTTGTGCTTAATTTAGAAAACCTGCTTCTCCCTCCCCTGTCTCCTGCTAAGGTCCAGCCTCTGCTGTTCCCACTTACTGCAGGGTTTGGCTTTAATTCTTTATCAGGGGTGTCCCGTTCCCCAATACGATGTTTAAAATTATTATCTAATTGGCTGAAGTTTTGTTTTCCATTTGTTATTGTGGTAACATGTATCACATAAAGTTTGCCATTTTCGCTCTGTTGCTGTGCACCGTTCAGTGGCGCTAACTGCATCATTGTGCAGCCATCACCACATCCATCTCCACAGAGTTCTTCCCAGAGGGAAGCTCCATCCCTGTTAAACACTGACTCCCCACCCCCTACTTTCTGTCCTGGGAATTTGACTTCTCGGGAGGCCTCGTGTAAGTGGAATCACATGGTGTTTGTCCCTTTCTGTCTGGCTTAATTTACAGGTGGACCACATTTCGTTCACCTGTCTGTCAGTGGGCCTTCAGCTGTGTCTGCCTTTCAGCCAATGTCAATAACGCTGCTGCAAACCTTTCCCCTTGGC